ACTGAAATACTGGCTTTCCAGTATTTATAGTACACATCTTATATATCTACGACAAAATTAAGAGAAAGTGTTTCTTGAATTGAACCACTCCCAAATGATTAAGGAATTCTTTCACTCTGGTGCTATAATAATTCTATAATCAAATTTAAAATGGAAGCAGTCAGCCATTTGTTCATGTTTCTTCCAGATTTAAATAAAAATGCAGTCCTGTGCCTTATACTAACACTCTAGTGATGCACTGCCTAAACCACTGTTTGTTTATTTTGTTTTTGAGATAGAACAAAAGACTATCGCCCTGGGTGCTGATGGCTCACACTTGTATTCCTAGCTACTCAGGAGGATGAGATCTGAGAATAGAGGTTCAAAGCCAGCCTGGGGAAGGAAAGTCTGTGAGACTTTTCCAATTAACCACAAAAAAAGACAGAAGTGGGGCTGTGGTTTATATGATAGAAAGCTAGCATTGAACAAAAAAGGTCAGGGACAGCACCCACCCAGGTGCTGAGTTCAAGCCCCCAAACTGGTACACACACACACACACACACACACACACACACACACACACACACACACACACACACACACACACACACACACACACAGAGGTCCTGCTTTGGATCTCAGGATGATCAAAATTCACTATGTATCTCAGACTGGCCTTGAATTCATGGTTCTCCTGCTTAGCTTCCTAGGTTCTGGGAGTGCAGACTTTTTTTTCTTCAGGCTTTCCTGGTATTTGGTCTAGTTTTGAACCAGCAAATCAAAAATATAACATCTGATGGGAAGAGTATAATTTCACGTTGAAAAATCTACCATGTTTATCTAGAAGAAAATCCTCCAACTAATAAATGGTCAGATTAGGTTAGATTCATAATAGGTTGTTGTTTTAGGAGGAATCCAGCTTTGTTTTAAATGTATCCAGAACCCAAAAGCAGAAATAAAAGCTTATTACATGAACAAAAGCATCCATCTTGCTGAGTGCACAGGGAATCAGCCATAGCAACGGCAGCAGGGCAACTGAGAACAACTCAAGCTCTCCAATTATTGGTAGGTAGAGTCAGCATGAAGCTCTTATCATCTCTGCAGAGTGGGCTAATCATATTGAGGCTCTCCATACACTGCTAGAAAACAGAATGGCAGGGGAAAGAAGTCAATGGTTCCAAGAGCCTGATATATCAAGAAACAAGAAACCAACTGTGGCTAGCATTTTTTTTGTTATTTCTCTAACAGAGGCAAAACCAGAGTCTTGCAATTGCACACTGCTGGTGGCATTTGACTGGAAAAGTCTCTCACTGTGAGAATTACTAAGTGCCTCATTCCTGAGAATAAATGTGAACCAAGAGATAACCCAACATTTCACACAGTGTTTCAACAATTCCTCAGCAGAGGAGTAAGGGGAAAGGGAGAAAACTTTTATTAAAGTTTCCTTGACACTGAAAAAAATAAGAGTAAAATGAGTGAAACCTTTCATCAAATATATTTGCATAAATACAACAATCGAAGTTAGAATAGAGCCAAGATTCAGTTCATTATTTTCGTCTTCATCATCATCATCATCATCATCATCATCATCATCATCATCATCATCATCTCATCACCATCCTTCTCTCTTGCTCTCAATCTCTCTTTTGGTGTATGTATGTATGTCTGTGTGATTTTTTTCTTCATCCTCAACCAAATAGTGTCAGTCACAATGAATTTAGTGTTGCTCACGCACAATTTTAATCATATTGATATTTAGTTGCGTAAGATTCTAATTCTAGGGCTGGGAAGTTGGCTCAGTGGTAGAGTGCTTGCCTCCCATGCATGAGGCCCTGGGTTCAATTCCTTAGCACCACATAAGCAGAAAAAGGCCAGAAATGGCACTATGGCTCAAATGGTAGAGCACTAGCCTTGAGGTGAAGAGCTAAGAGACAGAACCCAGGCCCAGAGTTCAGCCCCCACAATCGATCAAAAAAAAAAAAAAAGATTCTAGCTCTGTGGGAAAGTGAGTGAGAAAACAAAAGGAGTTTTTCAATATAATAATCTTTCCTTATCCATGGTTTTAGTTACCTATGACTAGTCCAAACATATCCAATGGAAAATTCCACCAGAGACCGAGCGTCCATATGCACACTACAGTCACATAACTATTACTATAATCATTTATTATAGTTCTATTTTAGTATTATTTGTTAATATTTTATCATGCCTAGTTTATGAAGTATACTTTATCACATATGTAGGCATTTGGAAAAAGTGAACATTTAAGGTTTAGCTCTTTCTGTGGTTTCCACTGGAAATGTTAGGACTTATCGTCAGTGGCCAAGAGGAAATGACTGTAGGTGTGTATTATAACCTTGCTGTAATGCAATCTTTAGCAGTGGCCTTAGGTAACCTTAGAAAAGAAGGACAACAACAAAAAGAAGAGTAGATTTTGGAGCCAGTTTTATGTCTGAATTCCAGTTTTATCACGTCAAACTTCTAAAATCCAGATTCCTCATTTGTAAAATGTGGTTAAAGCTACCTTGATTTAGGAGCCAAATGGCTGTAATATTGTGGAACTTTTACATCGTTATTGGCACATGGACTTATAAAAAACAATAAAAACAAACCAGACTACTGATTCATAGCAATAGTAATAAAAGAAAACTAGGAGTAAAGCCTACTGATCATGTTATTCCTTTTGAATGGAATTGGTATTTTTCCATGCTCAAAACAAATTAAAGATGGAATACTCTTCAGACTCTAAATGGAAGATTAAAAAAAAGGTTTTCTAACTCAAAATTTAAAACTGAGTAACTAGTTTTTAAAAATCTGCCCACAGTTTCAAACATATTTTTTACTTAATCCTGCCCCCCCCAGTTATGAGGATCATATTGTCACAAATAGTTAAAACCATCTATGTATTGTACATCTCTTTTATATGTGTATTCTAGGAGCCAGTATTCTAATATCATATAACTGACCAAGGCTTAAGTGTAACTTTCCCACTTTTCTCATTTAGATGAGATATGGAAATGTGAATAATTGTACCAGTAGGTCAAATAATAAGCTGCAGAGTTGGCAGGCACTTGCAGCTTCTGACTGCCCTGCATTTAGGAAGGTATTTCCATAAATGAGACACATACAATTTGCCTTCTGAAAATCCCTTCTCTTCCCTTTCCCTCTCCTCCTCTCTCTTCCCCTCTCCTTCCCTACCCTTTCCTCCCCTCTTCATTTCTTCCCTTTTGTTTTGTGCAAATACTGGGGCTGGAAGCCCTCCTCCACTTCTGTCCTTTTACTTGTTAGTTGGAGATAAGACTCTCCCAGATTTACCCACTTTGGCTTATTTCAAACCACAATCCTTAGATCTCCATCTCCTCAGTAGTTAGAACATATAGGCATGAGCCATGGGACCCAGGCTCCACAGACTCCTAACAAATTTTGTGTACGTCCATCAATGCCTTTGAAGACTGTGACCTTTAATTGGGGACCATAAACTGAAGTTTTATCTTGGTCAAAGTGGCTAGTGCTGAGAATATATACACTAAGAAATTAATTACATGAGATGTTATTAATTCATTTACCCCAAATGGTTTCATTTAAGAAGACTTAGGGTTTCCCAAGAATTGAATTTCTAAACATGCTTGACCTAAAGTTAATATCTATCCTGTAATCCAAACTCTGTGTCTTCTTCATCACATTAAAGTCTGAATAATAACCACACACCGAAGATAACTGACTTGTCAATACAATTGTCTTTCATGAAGTAGGTAAAATATCTTGCTCCATTATTTCAGATTAAGAAAACTAATTTAAAATTAATAATGAAGTTAACCAAATTATTGGTTAATTTTTTTCAAAAATTTCTGACATTTCACATATTTCTCCAAGCTCTCTACATTATTTTATAAAGGTTTACGAAGATGTCCACTAATGTGGAGAAAGCGTACATTTTAAAAATATTTATACAGTATTCTTAATAGAGGGAACTATTTGCTGAATGAGCCTTTGTAATTCTTTTACAAGAAACGCATGAGAAATATTGCAAAGGTTACTTGGAAGTCAGTACAGCTATCTACTTTAGATAGATAACGTCCACCTGATAATGTCTGGGTAAAATAGGACCAGGATATTTCAATTGTTGTTCTACCAACTGTTACACTTTGCAAGAGGAGAAAAGTGAAGTTAGATAAAGAGTTCAACCCCAGCCCAGGTTTATTAGAAAACAAAAACAAAAACATCTGGAAGGGAGAACCCCTAGTCAATGCTTGGAGACACCTTGTTTACAATCCAAAGTACTGATGGTGGGTCTGAAAGAATGCTACAACTCTCTAGTGGGGGTGGTTTAGAGGTGGCGCAAGAGGTGGTAAACAAGATCACAGTTGGAGATAGAGAGGGAGCTGAGCCTAGATAATGTGCTCAAGGCCCAAACTGGGAGTCACTTTTGGTCTGGTGCCTGATGCCTGAGTTTATCTGGTCTGGAAGAGGCAAAGGTTGGGTGTTAGTGAGTCAAGGAACTGTTTGGGGGCCTCAAGATAAGGACCCATGGTCATTTGGACCTAACATCCAACCATCTATCTATCTATCTATCTATCTATCTATCTATCTATCTATCTATCTATCTATCTATCTATCTATCTATCTATCTGTCGGTACTATAGATAGATCTATGATCTCTCTCTCGCTCTCTATCTATATGAAATTTGGGTAAAATGAAACATTAACACACTTTGTATCTTTATTTCTCTGTGTGTGTCTCTACTGGTTTCGCGTACTCTCTGTGTGTCTCTTCTGGTTTCTAGTACTCTCCCTTTCCTGAAAATGCCTATTTATTTCCTACCGGAAGTGGGAGAAACCTATGTGACCGAGGCACCCTAAAATTACCAGAGTTGAAAATGTGAGACAAGACATAGGGCCCCAGAGCTTTATGAGAAACCACGGTTGCTTTTTGGAAAGCATGCAGGAAGCAGCCCTTGAAGAGTTTCACTTCCTCAAGGCGCCCCACCAAACCTAGGCCTGACCTTGTGGCCTGAGCCTGGGGTTGCATGCTTCCGCAGAGCTGCAGATCTTGGCCACAGCTCCCTCCCCCCTACCCCCACCCTACTCCGTGGATGGAAAGCAGGCTGAAGAGTGGCAGGAACCCAGAGAAGAGCTTGCTGCAAATCTCTGTGACCTGGAGGGGACAAGTAGATTTGGGGGGGCCTATCCTTGGACTTCAGCTACCTGCAATGCTGCCTGCAGAAGGTGGTGCTAGGGGCAGGAGCCTGGACCTGTCCCCCTGTGGCTCAGGACCCCCAGGTGGGTGGTCGTGTGTCTGGAAGGGCTGGAGGGAGGAAGGGGGCACCTCTGGGGCCTTGTGGAAACTAAGTGCCCTCATTAGGTAACCATTATCCTGGAATCGCCAAGGTCAAGGAGGTCAGAGGGGAGGTTGGAGGGGAGGTGTCCTCTGGGCCAACGCTGTGTGAGTCCAGGCTCTAGTCCACCAGGCACTCAGCAACTTCTGATTGGGAACTTTCCAGAACTTGGAAGAGGGTCCTGTCCTATCCACAATCACTTTGCAATGTATATTTATTTTTTAAAATTTTGCCGGTCCTGGGGCTTGAACTCAGGGCCTGGGTGCTGTCCTTCAGCTCTTTTGCTCAAAGCTAGCGCTCTACCACTTTGAAACACAGTGCCACATCTCGCTCTCTGGTGGTTAATTGGAGCTAAGAGTCTCACAGACTTCCCTACCCGGGATGGCTTCCAACTATGATCCTCAGATCTCAGCCTCTTGATTAGCTAGAATCACAGGTGTGAGCAACTGGAGCCCAGCTCTTTTTATTCTTAAGTAGCTTTACAAAGGAGTTTCAAGTCACCTTGTTAGTTTGAGTTCAGTGCAATGTGTCTTAAAGCTATATGGCATCTTAAAATTGTGTAAAGAGAATGAAACTTCCCATTTGCTTTGCCATTTACCTGCCAAGATTTCCAGGGTGACTTGTGTTTGCTCTCTCGTGCAGGGGCTGTACCCAAAGCCCCTCCATGGGCCACTCAGGAAAACCCTCCATTCTGATGACTCTATTGATGGATTTACATTCTCACAGGGACAGTTGTACTTTGAGGTATTTGCAAAATGCACTTGTGAATTATATAATGAATATAAACAGAATACAGCTTTGAAAAAGCAAACACTTCATTAGAATGTGTTCCTGGTGAGACATGCAGGAAGAAAATATATTCTGAACAGAATTTGCTTAATTTACAGCACAGAATTAAATTGCTCATGGCTTACTAGCATTTTTATAAACAACTTTGTTTTGATGTTTGCTTTTGCTACTTTTTTGGCTGGTGCCTTAAAAAAATAAAGTAGATTACTACTAAAAAGTTTTAAATGGATAATATTTTTGTGATAATAGAAAATGACAACAAAGACCATGAGACCATGTTGTCTGAATGAGAGGACTTTTAAATACAGAGCCTCCTTTTTTATTTTTATTTGTTTTTTGGTCAATCATGGGGCTTGAACTCTGGGCCTGAGTCCTGTCCCTGAGCTCTTCAGCTCAAGGCAAGCGCTCTACCACTTGAGCCACGGTGCCACTTTTGAAATACTGAACTTTCTTGGCTTTCTTGGCTTCCTATGGGTCAAATGGGCCACAATGAAGCCTGAGCTGTTGGTTGTCTGTTTTGTATGTTCAGTTGAGCAATTTGAGCTACATACAGTGGAGTACAGTTTTATTCAATTTTGAGTCATTCAGCCTGGAAATGGTTTTTATTTGACTTAATACTCAAGTAAAACTTTGAGGGCAGTTTCTGTTGTAAATAACAATAGAAAAATGTGACTTACTGTTTAATTTGACTTATTGTATTATACTATACTGCTCCGTATTTTATCATTACATTCAACTCATTATTCTTACTCCTTTATTGATTCTTTGATTCTTTCCAATAGAGTATTGGCATTTGGTAACTCCTTATTTGGCTAAGAGTAATTTAACTTTTCTTGTAATAACTTATCTTTGAACATTAAACCTATTCCTAACTTATTGATATGAAAAAGTCATCAAACATATCTTGTTCCTGTTCCTTTTTTATGAAAAAATGGAGACTCTTTTTACTCAGAATGAACTTTGGTTTCATATGACACCTAGGGGGTCATTTAATTCAACTAACTTTAAAGAAAAGAAAACAGACTCATTTTCTCATAACTCCATATGCAGTATGTATTTGAAGGTAACCCATTCACCAACTCACCAGCAACTTTTTAACTTCTAGCACTTGCAGAGTGGTAAATATGAAGTGATAAACATGGTTGCATGTCCAGGAAGATGCTATGTTTCCAGCATTGATGACTGACTTGCAGTGATATATTTATATGTATGTCCCTTTGTTAACTCTTAAGCGTCTAATTTGTCCTTTAGTGGCCCAGTCAGCATCAGAATATCTTTACAAAGTCAATTGTCACAGTGAGTGAAAATTCTTTTAGATTTTATCTTGTATCTTTTATTTAACTGAATGCTGTCTACCAACATCCAAGAGAATATCTTCTTACATTTCACAAAAGAACTAATAATGTTGGGAATTTTTTGAGTTTTAGCATCTAACTTCATTTGGAGTTATTTATCCAAGTCTAGATTATTCCCTATCCCATACCTTTGTATAGTTTCAGTTATTATCTTGTGCTTCTGATGAGAGTTAAGGATTCACTTAAAAACAGAAGGCATGACAGAGTAGAACAAGCATGTATGCTGTCTTGCCATTTGTTGAATGCCTGTACATAGCTTATGAGAAACAATATTGTCTAAGGCTGTTCTGATTTGAAGTCCTCAAAATTTGTGCTCCACCTACAACATTCAACACGTCCAACTTATCTTTTTCCTTCCGAAGGAGCTATCCTTAGTGCCTGGCAACACTGGCTTTCTTTAGATGAGCCTGGGAAAGTTGCTGGTTAGGTCATTTCCCCTGGGATCTTAGTGAAAGAGAGCTTTCATATGGACCACTGAGGTGACATCACTAAAGATTTCAAGCTTAGACATCAGCCCATTTGATGTTATACTTGGGAACAGAGAGACATTTTCTGCTGTGGCATGTTATAATGAATGATCCCTCTCTATTCACGACAGATTCTATATAGCCATCTTTAGACCCAATCTCAGTATCATCGGTTAGCAACTCTATAACTGCCGCTGAATTACTAAATCTTACATTATCTCAGGTGTTTATTAAAAAGCAAAATTTTGAGGGAATAGGAATCTTCATCTGAAAGTTGCTGAGAGATGAGCACAGAAAGCTGAAACCCTTTTCCAGATGCCATAGCAAGTAGCTATTGCTTCATACAGATTAGTTACTATTTTGATTCTTAAGTCATTGCTCCATAGTATCATATTTACAGACAAGAGATAAACATTTTATTGAAAAGATGCCTCATATTGGTTTGGGAAACAACAAAAAAAATGAAGCAATAGCACTGTCTCATTACCAAATATTAGGAAATCTGGCTTCCTATATAAAGGTATTGTTATATTCTTGGGGAAAGTGTATGGCTTGGTAGTTTGGAGAAGAGAAGAAAAGGAATCCACAAATGCAAGGCTATACCCATAAAACATCTCAGTGTCATTCTTTACAGAGTTAGAAAATCAGCCCTTAAATTCATATAAAATAGGAGACCCTCCCCCAAATGGCCAAAGCAATCTTGAGTAAAATATAATACTGGAAGTATTATAATTCCAGAGTTCAGGGTATAGTACAAAATCATAGTAGCAAAAACAATATGGTAGTTGGACACTGGTGGCTAATGCCTATAGTCCTGGTTACTCAGGAGTTGAGATCTGAGGATCTCAGATAACAGTCCATTGAGACTCATATCTCAAATTGACCAGCAAAAAGCTTTGACAATCAAGTGAATGTGTGATGTCTTAAGTTCAAACTCCACTGTCAGGACAGAAAAACAAACAGCAACAACAATAACAACAAAACTCATCATGGTTCTGGCACAGAAACAGACTCAGAGACCAATGGAACCGATGAAAAGACCGAGAAATGAATCTGCCACTCTATAGCCATCATGTACAAAGTAGGTGCAGCTACAAAAGTCAGGTGATAAGTACATTTCTTTTTGAACAGTGTTACCTCTTCTCTCGTTCTTTCCCAGTTTTTCCTTCTCACCCCTCCACATTTGATTTTTTTTTTATTAGGGAGCCCAAGATGTGTGTTGGAGTATAATAGCCTTTTCAATACATGGTTCTGGAAAAAACCTAGATACCCACACACGAAAGACTGAAAATGAATCCCTTCTCTTTCACCCTTCACTAATATCAATTCAAGGGGATCTTTGTACAAGGCCTTAAATTTTGAAACTACTGTAAAAAAAGAACGGGGAAAATACTAGAATTTATTGGCATCCACAGTCATTTTCTAAATAGAAAACCAGCAGCTCAGCAAATAAGAGTGAGGATTGGCATCCAGTTAAAGCCTTCTGCAAGCCACGCCCCAGTGGCTCACGCTTGTAATCCTAGCTAATCAGAAGGCTGAGAGCTGAGGATTGTGGTTCAAATTCAGCCCAGGCAGGAAAGTCTGTGAGACTATTATCTCCAATTAAATCATAGGAAAATCTGTGGCCCAAGTGGCCGAAGTGCTGTGACTATAAATATGTGTGTGTGTACATATATATACATATATATGTTAGATAGTTAGCTAGATAGATAGGTAGATAGATAGATAGATAGATAGGTAGGTAGGTAGGTAGATAGATAGATAGATAGATAGATAGATAGATAGATAGATAGATAGATAGATAGATAGATAGATAGATAGATATCTGCAAAGCAAAGGATGTAGTCACTAGTCTGAAAAGACAGGCTACAGAATTTGTAATATCTTTGTAAATTAACAAGGGACAAATAATTAAAATATGCAGGGAATTTAAGGTTTTAATACAATTGATGTGAGAGTTGGGGACAATCTCTAAGTTCGGCTCATGGTAACAGCTTTCCCAACTAGCCCACATATGGAATCTAACTAGCTCCACTAATAACATGAAGTAAGCAAACCAGAAAGGCTCTTAACCAGCTGCTGACACCAGAAACACGTTGAGGTCAAGACCAAGAATTTCTGGGTCCTAAGCCAACTCCAGTTATCCCAATTTAAAAAGAAAAGTCATTCTGTTCCACTGGAAGTGCATTATGTTAATATATTAATTAGGGGAAATTACCTTTGATATGCTATTAAATCTTTTATTGGCTTAATAGGGGTAGACGAATCTCTCTCTAAAAGGTGCTGGATCACAAAAGCAACATAGTAACTTCATTTAAATCAAATGACAAAAT